CATAATGGCTACATCACTGGACTCCCATGTAGTCAACCATGGTTCGAGTCCTGGACCCGGTGGCTTAAACTCATGCTGGGTGCATTGTGTGTGTGTGAGCCCAAGATCCTGAGAGGAAAATGGAGAAGGGGTTGCGGTATGGCCATCCCCCCCCAGGGGGTGATTTCTCGCTTTCTGTCTCTCTGTCTTTCTGGTGAGTGCACGTGCCTTATAGTAAAAGCCTCTCAAAAAATTTGCTTGGTGTCTTTTGATGAGTGAAAACTTTTAATTTTGATTATGTTTAATTTATCAGCTTTATTTTATATGGTTAGGTGTTTTTGTGTCTTAAGAAATTTCTGCCTACTCTAGGTCATAGATAGTTTGTTTTCTTCCATAAGCTTTATTATGATTCTGGCTTTATTTATACCTATACTTCTTGAATTAACATTTTTTTTGAGAGGTTTTTGCTATAGGGCACGTGCACTCACCAAACAGAGAGACAAGAGAGATAGAAAGCGAGAAATCACCCCCCAGGGGGGATGGCCATGCCACAATCCCTCCTCCTCCATTCTCCTCTTGGGATCCTGGGCACGTACGCACACGCGCCCAGCGTGAGTTTTAAGCCACCGGGTCCGGGACACAAACCGCGGTTGAATACATGGGAGTCCAGCGACATAGCCATTACACTAACTGCTGGTCCCTTGAATTAACTTTTGTATATAATGTGAGATATGAAGTATGTATGAATTCTGCATATGAAGTGAGAATTTTTGTATAGGAATTTTATATATGAAGTAAATTTTAAAATATGAATTTTATTTATTTATTCATTCATTCATTTATTGTAGAGGACATGTGCGCTTGCCAGAACAGAGAGACAGAGAGGGATAGAAATAGGGAAAAGGAGAAAGCATCTAATAATGGGGTATGGTCATGCCATAATCTGTTCTCTTCCATTTTTCTGTCCTATATGGATTTGGGGCATATACACACATGTGCCTGGTGTATTTTTCAAGCTGGCAAGCCTGGGATTTGAACTGTGGTCGGCCATGTGTGATTCTACTTCCTTAATGACTAGCTCATGGGACCAGACTGGATATCATTTATTAAAGATTTTGTCTTTCCCTATTGAACTGATCCAATATTTTTAAACATTTAGTCAACTAAGATACTTATAAATGAAAAACCATATTAGAAGATTTTCCTAAGAATAAAGATTTATGAAGTATTTAAACAGTAATACTAAAGAGACAATAGTTGTGGTATACAGAAGGAGAACTAGTGTTAAAGTCAGAAAGTCTGGGCTCATAAAATAGTTTTGCTACTTCCTAATTATGTTATTGTGGTCACACTATGCATCTGAATTCTGTTTCTTCAATGAACTAATAATATATTCTTTCGCTTAGCTAACAAAGAATGGAGAAAGTAAAATGAGATAGGTAGGGAGCAGCTGGTACTGCCCTTGGCAAAAGCCTGTAATAAAAAATTGAGCTTTGTTCCTGAAAATCCATCTAGAAACAGTGTTTGGAGGACAACTCAAGCAGCCCAATTGCTGTAGATGATGATAAATCGAAACCTTCTTTATGTCTATGTCTACACCCAACAATTTGGAAGGTTTAGCAAATGGTGGTATATTTGCAGTATACTTTCTATATCTTATGGAAAGGACACAGGGGATGGTCCCTGTCTTTGCTTCCCTCATTAAGAAAGTCATAAGGAACGATGGCTGTAGCTCTGCCCAAACATCATAGAGTATTAATTGCCACGACAGTCTGTGACCGTATGGGGAACTCAAGAAGCAGGGCGTTCCAAGCATCTCCAGGAGATGAAATAGCAATAGTTTAGGATAGACAGGTTCCATACAGGTCCAATTAGCCTATAAGGACCATCTTTTTTTCTTGGACATCAAAGTCTTCTCTTTTAGTATCCTACCAGTAAGAAAATGACCAAGTTACTACTAGTTACTCTGTGATTTTACAATAATCAAGTACTCCTAGAATTACAGGTGTGTGTTTTGAATACCTGATTTCCTTTTGTATGGGTTAGGAAGCCTCAATGAGATGATGGCCCAATGAGTACAGAACTGGGACCCAAGCTGCCTTGGGGCCAAGTTGCTATTAGAGTGAATGAAAGCATAGATGAGGCCAAGGAGAGAAGCCCATACTTAACACCAGATTAGAACAAATGCTATCAGATCTAAGATATGAATATAAAGCTATAAACAGATGCTGCTGCGAGAGTACCAAAGCTGAAAACATCAGAAATAGGGCAGGAAACAGAAAAAAGAAGTTGAAGAAAGCTCTAGGCTCAGATGCTAGAAACTTGCTTTAGGCAGGTGGTGGCCATGTAATATCAAGCTAAGTCAACTGGTTTAAAGGTACAGAACTGGGCCAAACATAACAAAGTATTTTCCTAATACGGATAGTAGTTGTGGCAGTGGCTACCTTGACACTTCCTCATTTAAAGAAAAAACAGATAGAAAGCCTGTCATGATGACAATTACACTTCACAAAGAGGATAGATTCTGAAATGGTCATTCTTTTCCATTCGCATAATGTTACCATCTCCCAAAGAACAGTTTTGGGGCAGGAAAGAATAGTATTGCATTTCAAGCTGGACTACTCATCGACCAAAATACCATTCTGACCAAAGAAACAGATGCAGAATTACAGTCACAGCTGCATTCTGCACAGAACAAGTTGGATAATGGTACTCTAAATTGCTAATTACACTGTTAATGATTTTTTTAGTGTCACTGCAGTATTTTGCCACCTTTGCTTAAAAATTTTAAAACTGCACCTAAGAAGTTTTTTAAACAGTAAATTTCTGTTTTGTTAAATACCAGTGAGTCTTCCAAAGAATAATTTCAAATAAAGCCTAGTTCTTGAAATGACATTTTCACATGGAATGTATAAGAGCCCATTTATTGATGAGCTATTTGTTTTAATGTACTTTCTCACCAATGTACTTACATTTAAAATGGCTGAGGTCATAAGTATCTCAATATTAGTATTTGTACCCATAGTTGGTACAAAAGGAAAATAAATTAACATGTGTCATTATACACTGACACTAGGAGTATGCTAGGACTAGGTTTATAAAAAGTAATAGGAACAGTACAATTTTATTTTTATTGTGATAACCATGGCAAAATTCATTGTAATGTTAGTATTTTATAATTTAATCCATTTCAGCATAGCTGAGAGGTAATTTTTAATATAAAAATGCTAATATTTTTATTTCATTTTAGGTTATAGTATGCAGTTTAGTACTATCATTGTTTCCTATTATTTCTTGTATATTTAAATGACAGACTATTTTTTTCTACAAGTAGTAAACTAATTTTTACTAACTTATTTCATTAAGATTTCTAAATAGTTTGCTTCTTAAGTCAACACCCCAATCTAGCTAGAAACTTCCACACATTAGATTAAAAAATACAAACAATCTGCCTAGAAACTTCCACACATTAGATTAAAAAATACACACACACACTACATATGTATGTATACACATACACATTCATGTGTTATATATGTGTACATATATGTATGCATGTATGTATACATGTATAGGTTCTTGGAAAAGTCATGACTTATTTTTTTCTATGTTTTCCTATGCAAAAATGCATCATGACTCTCCCTACCACCCAAAAATTTATGCATGTGCTTGCCAAAAAAAGACAGAGAAAGAGAAAGAAAGGGAGGGAAATTGAGAAAGCACCCTCCAGGAGGTTGGCCATGCTGCAATCCCTTCTCCATTCTCCCCTGGGGATTTTGGATATGCATGCATACACGTTAGGTGTCTTTTTCAAGCTGCTCGGTCTGGGACTTGAACTCCAAAGTCACCCATGTAGGATTCAGTCCTGTTAACCACCACACCACCAGCTGACCCTCCAAAATTTTTTATATGCAGTAAGTAGTATAGTAATCATGATTATGTCAAAATTTTTTTTGATAATTTTTATATTTAGCAAGGTAAATCAGTAGTTAAAAATGGGGGTGGGGTGGGGAGAAGGGAATTGGGGGAAAATGAGGCAAAATATATATTTTTAAAGAATTATTTTATTTAACTTTATTCATTCATTCATTCATTCATTTTATCTTATTTGACCAGAGATAGGGAAAGTGAGAAACCAAGCCACCAGGTCTGGGACTTGAACCATGGTCGCCCATGTGGGAGTCCAGTGTCCTTAACCACCATACTACCTGCCAGCCCCAAGAAGCAAAATATTTAACAGACACAAAAACGGAATGGTATCTGCTGAGGATAATGTGGTAATACCTCTAACTGGGCTAATATGCAGTGTATTCATGGTGGGAAAATTCATTTCGTATGCTGTAAAGCTGTAGTGACTAAATGTGAAAAAGTATAGGGGGATTGTTGCCTTTTTGGCCGGAACCACCATCTTTCAATAACTAACCAAAATGATGAACACAAAGGGAAGGAGGAGAGGCACCAGATATATGTTCTCTAAGCCTTTTAGAAAACATGGAGTTGTTCTTCTGGCAACATATGCAAATCTCAAGAAAGGTGATATTGTAGACATTAAGGGAATGGGTACTGTTCAAAAAGGAATGCCCCACAAATGTTACCATGGCGAAACTGGAAGAGTCTACAGTGTTACCCAGCATGCTGTTGGCATCGTTGTAAACAAACAAGGGCAAGATTCTCGTCAAGAGAATTAATGTGCGTATTGAACATACTAAGCATTCTAAGAGCAGAGATAAGCTTCCTAAAACGTGTGAAGGAAAATGATCAGAAAAAGAAGGAAGCCAAAGAGAAAGGTACCTGGGTTCAACCGCCAGCCTGGCCTGCTACACCCAGAGAAGCACACTTTGTGAGAACCAATGGAAAGGAGCCTGAGCTACTGGAACCTATTCCCTACGAATTCATGGCATGATGGGTGTTAAAAAACAAACTAATCTGTGGTCTATAAAGATATATATATGGAGTGGTTGTTAAAAAATATTAAAAACACAATTTTATATGCAATCACAAACTCTTAAGTAAATACTTACATTTTCTTCTAATAGGTCATCCAATTTCAGTGATCTTTTAACACTGTAAACAAAATATTTAAAGAAATCTTAGACCTGACATACTTAATTATAAGTAACCAAATATTTATAGGTAAGATTTGCAAACAAAGATTTGAAGTTACTTTTGCCAACTAATTCTTTTTTTTTATCCTCTTTTATTTTTTTGGAGAGGTTTTTGCTATAGGGCACGTGTACTCACCAGAAAGACAGAGAGACAGAGAGACAGAAAGTGAGAAATCACCCCCTGGAGGGATGGCCACGCTGCAATCCCTTCTCCTCCATTCTCCTCTCAGGATCTTGGGCACGCACGCACACGTGCTCAGCGTGAGTTTAAGCCACCATGTCCGGGACTCGAACTACATGGGAGTCCAGCGACATAGCCATTACGCTCACTGCTGGTCCCTGTCAACTAATTCTTACATATTTATTAAGCAGAATACCATATAAGGAAAGCAATTATTATTACGATGGGTTTGTTTTTAATAGCATATTTCAAGATAAGAACATAAACATTTAAATGGATCACTTTAAAAAATATGTGTAACTTTATATATCCTACTATACAATTTCAATATTAAAGTCACATTATAAAAAGCATTTGTGAAAAATCAGCATATTTGCTTTAAAATACTAGTAATATAAATTTATATGTAAAGGCAAAATAATTTACAGTCCCTTCAATGGAGATATGACATTACATTATTTGCAAAAATAACACCTATAACTTGGTGTTATAGGTGTGAACAAGGTGAAAAAAGTTTTGCCCATTATTGTAGCTTTAAACATGATTCAGTGCAGCCAGACTATGACTTAACAGGGGAACAGATGCTCTATGTCTTTATAAGTCCCCAATCCATAAGAAACTATTTTTTGTTTCCTTCACTAAACTGATTCAGGAACATGCCAGGCTCTCTCTGTGCAAAATCTGTTCTGCTAAACTGGATGCCCAGCTGTTGGTGACAATGCTTAGAAAGGAAAGCTGAATATTTATAATACTTTATTTCATACAGCTGTCTTCTAAAGAGCAGTCATCAACATTTTATTGAATGCAGACTAAATGCTCAAAAGAGAAAAAGGTCAATATAAATTAAAACTAGTTTTCTCAGTGACAAATGTAGTGTTAAAAGTATTTTCTCCATCCCTAAGAAATAGAAATTAAATTATTTAAAATATTACTGTATGAGAGCATAAAGCAAGGAAGATTGTATTATAAAGGCTGTATTACAGAAACCAAAAAAATTGTATAGATTCTGTCCTAGAAAATGACTATTCATAAATATTGATTGACAGAGCAAGAAAAAATAGAAAAGATGGTCAATCTAAGAAAATTGCTGAGCAGTAAATATTAAATACAAAAATTTATCTATATAAAATAGATGTACTTGATTTTGGTATCATACCTACATTAGCCATTACATTATTTCTTGAGACTAATTAAGTTGGTTTTAAAGGATTATTATTATTACCTCTAAGAAGTCCACTAAAAATCAATTTAATATAAATTCTCAATGAAGAAGAAAAAAGAGGTATGAACAAATAAAAATGGCAAATTATTTTTTAAAGTATTCATACTTAGCTTTGGAATATATATTGCCCTATTTGGGTGTGTATGATATGTGGGTATTTATAATACTTCAAAAGTAGAAATCAAAAAGAAAGTTATATAACATAGCTTCTTTTTAAATTTCTTTTTAGAAGAATTATTTATTTAATTTATTATTACTGCTTTTTAATTTGCTACATGGCACGTGTGCTCATGTGAGAGAGAGAGAAAGAGAGAAAGCAAGCTGCCAGGTCTGGGACTCGAACTTCAGTGGGCTATGTGGGAGCCCAGTACCTCAACCGCCACATCACTTGCTGGTCCCACTTTTTTTTGGGGGGGGTGGGGAGAGGTTTCTGTTATAGGGTACGTGCGCTCTCCAGAAAGACAGAGAGAGACAGAGAGACAGAAAGTGAGAAATCACCCTCCAGGGAGGATGGCCATGCTGAGATCCCTTGTCCTCCATTCTCCTCTTGGGATCTTGGGCATGCATGCACAGGCACCTGGTGTGAGTTTAAGCCACCAGGTTTGGGACTTGAACTGAGGTTGACTACATGGGAGTCCAACGACAGCCATTATGCCAGCTGCTAGTCCCCCCACTTTTTTTTTAATTCATGAGATTTCGTGCTAACACACAAGAAACAGACACACAGAAGTACCCTTCACAGGACATCGTCAAGTTGCTATCCCCCTTCCTTTACTCCTCCACCCACTAGGACCTTGGGCACATGCACCTGTGTCTATGTTTGCAGACTAACCGAGCTGGGAACTCAAATCACAGACAGCATGTGGCTTCTGTTCTATAGTCTGGTACTCTACCAACTGCACACACACACACACACACACACGTTTCTAATTTTCTTTTTCTTAAATGCTGTTAAGGTACAGTACGGATGTTAACTTTTCAAATATTGTTTTATTATCGATGCTTAATTCTCAGAGAAGGTAACTATAATGTTTGGGTTGGAAGGGTTTTCAGATTAGGCTGCTCCAAAATGCCCTAGGAAATATGAGAAAGTAAACAAGCACGCAAGCAGAGTTAAAATAGACCATCATCTTCCACTTCAATTATGGTTAGTGAAAGTAGAAAACTAGATTTTTTTTTTTGTGGGTAGTGTTCAGGCATCCAATAATCAAAAGCTTGTAACACAGGAATTCTAAATTAAAGTAATAGACAAGACTAGCAGAAATCTAAGAAATCACCTAGTTCAGCCAACATAGAAGAGTCTAAGCAACCTTCCTACCGTCAGACATTAGAGGGAAAGAACCTCAGATCTCAGGGTGTATGCTTAATGAATCTTTGTTGAATTGAGGGGCAGCGAATTAAAGAACAGGTAAAGAGGAGGAAATCTGACACATGCTACAACATACATCACCCTTAAAGACATTAAGCTACACAAACTAAGCCAGTTACAAAAGGGCACATACTATATGCTTCCACTCACCAGTGGTCAAATTCTTAAGAGATCAAACAGAATGGTGGTTGCCAGGGGCTGGAGGGAAGGAGGGAAGAGTGGGGAAATTACTGTTTAACAGATACAGAATTTCAGTTTTCCAAGATGCAAAAGTTCTGGAGAGGGAGGGTGGTGATAATATAACACAATATAAATGTACTTAATGTCACTGAATTGTATACTTAAAATTATTAAAATGGTACATTTTTGTGCTATTTTAGAACAATTTTGAAATAAGCAATTTTTAAAAAAGTTTTTTTATCAGAGGGCATGTATGCTTGCCAGAGAGAGACAAATGAGACAGTGAGAGGGAAAGTGAGAAGTCACACCCTGAAGGGATGGCCATGTTGCAATCCCTTCTCTTCCATACTCTTCCTGGGATTTTGGGCATGCATGAACATGTGCCAGGTGTGATTTTCAAACTGCCACATCTGTGACTTGAACAGCAGTAGTCCATGTGGGAGTCCAATGCCTTAACTGCCACTCCACCTGCTGGCCCCAAATAAATAATTTTTAAAATGGAAATTACCTATTTTATCCTAATTACTTCCCTCTTAGGGTTATTTTATGTCTAATGTTGTGGGAAACATTTCCAATATACTCAAATTCCCATCTATGCCCCTAATTTAAATGTTATATTCTATCTTCAGGTATACTAGATTTAGGTTGCTACTAAAATTACTGTTGAGAATTTAAAAAAAATAATAGGCAATTTTATATTAGCAGGAAAGTAAGTAACACTGTAGAACTGGCTACATTCTTCTTTTTTGAGAAAGATTTTCCCCTGCGAGACAGAAAGTGAGAAATCACCCCCTCAAGGGAGATGGTCCCATTGCAATCCCTTCTCCATTCTCCTCCTGGGATTTTTGGGCACACATGCACACATTCCCAGCCTGAGTTTCAAGCCTCTGGGTTCAGGACTTGAACCACAGTAGATCACATTGGAGTTCAGTGCCTTAACCACTATGCCACCTGCTGGCCCCTAGCTATATAATTCTTTAAGACAATCCTCCCCTTCTACTTCAGCAGAATAGAAAGAGTGGATGATGTTTTTTTGTTTTTGTCTTTTGTGCCAGAGGGCATACGTGACTATGAGAGACAGAGAGAGAGAGAGAGAGAGAGAGAGAGAGAGAGAGAAAGCAGTCCATAATGGGGTGTGATCATATCATAATCCCCTCTCCATTTTTTCATCCTGCTGAGACTGGGCATGCATACACACATGCCCGGTGTGTTTCTCAAGCCACTGAGGCTAGGATTCAACCTGTGCAATCAGCCACGTAGATCTGGCTCCCCTAACAACCAGGCCACAGGGACTGTCCTAGATGAGTTTTATTACACAATATTACTAATGTCATTAAACTATTAAAGAAATTATTCTAGAAAAAAGTTATCATTTGATTCCTAATTAAGAACCAAGGTGACACATCAGAAGTTCATAAAATTACATGGCTTGGGACCAGCAGTTAGGGTAATGGCTATGTTGCTGGACTCCCATGTAGTTGACCATGGTTTGCGTCCTGGACCTGGTGGCTTAAATCTCACACCAGGTGCGTGTGCATGCGTGCCCAAGATCCCAGGAGGAGAAGGGATTGTGGTGTGGCCATCCCCCCTGGGGGGTGATTTCTCGCTTTCTGTCTCTCTCTGTCTGTCTGACGAGCGTACACGCCCTATAGCAAAAAACCTCTCCAAAAAAAAAAAAAAGTTACATGGCTTGAGGTTCTCTTACAGAACTTTTACATTAGATTAAATACGATTTTGAATAGCAGGACTACGAGGGGTTAAGAATAAACTTAGTAAAGTAGATAAGACTCAAGGAACCTTGATACTATGCCAAATTCTTCCCTAAGGTTGGGCAAATCACTTAATCTCACTAAGCTTCATAAAGTTGATAATGATACTGGCCTAAGTAGTAAGAAATTTCTGAGTAGAAGATAAAAATATCACTGAGTATTTCAGAGCTTCCATTTACTCTTCACTATAATGGAGATGATAGTATTGCCAGCTACCAACTTCACAAAAGTGTTTAGA